GTCATCTGGCAGTCTCCTGCCACCTAAATTAGGACACGGAGACTGCCAGATGACCCCGCTCGGAGCGCCGCCCACCGGAGCAGCAGTGACGCGACGCTCGGCGAGGTAAGTAAGAAGAAACCTGACCAGCTCGAGACGCTGACTCGAGTGTAAGCCAAGGGGGGCACTTTTCAGCAAAAAAAAATGGGCTGAAAAACTCGGCTTATACTCGAGTATATACACATATATACACACACACACATTATACATATATACACACAAACTTCCTTTTGTTTCAAGAGTCACATAATTAATATTAAAATAAATGATCTTCACTTGCACAAAACTATATACTAATTGCACAAAATTATATACCAAACAGAAAGATGTCTCATTACTATAAATTTTTTCAACATAGATGTAAACAAAATGATTCCTACCTATCACAAAGGGTATTTCCTATAGTAAGAAAAGAGGTTCTAGCACATTATAAGATAATATCACTGAAAAGAATTTGAATCTGAAATACTTCTAGAATGTTTTGATATTTATACCAAACGCAACCTATTAAAAATGCCCATGTCTTTTTTTAAAACATTACTATCAATGCTTTTGCGTTATATGGGGGAAGAAAGTTTTGTAGATAAGTTTTGAAGTGTTAACTAGACCCAAAATAAAGCACAAAGCTTAGGGTCGCTATAGAGCAGGATATAATCTCACTACCATTACTAGTGCTCCCGTGGATTCAGCCAAATAGACCTACCTTTAAAATTATGTCGCCATCTCGCCTAACTGAAACTCCGTACCTCAGTACGGAGCTCTGCCTGGGAGAGAATGTGCTGAAGTCCGAGCTTTGCAGCTGTGATCGATTGATCACAATTGCAATGCTTTCCTGGACTGAATGCAAATACTAAAGAAATGCATATTTTTAAATATATTATTATGTATTTCTTTAATTATTGCAAAATGTGAACTGGATCTTATTTGTGCATCACTCAGCTGTAGATCCTCCAATCATCTCTGAATTGATGCTGACACTGTCCTTCCTTCTGGAGGGTGGCTACTTTTGTTCCCATGGTCCCTATGTGTGTTGTAAAATTGTCACCACTTCAAGATCGCTCCTGTGATGGACTACAATCTCACATTTCATTTAGTAAACACCGGCCCACCCACAACCCCTCCATTCAGAGAACGTGAATACTACTATTCTCCCATGGTGCATGGCTTCTGTGAATGGGGAAGGAGTGGATAAGTGACACAGGATATCCACTGCCTATTCCCAGAATGCCATGCTTTGTAGGAGAATAGTAGGACATGTTCTCAAAATGGAAGAAAGGGCATGAAAGGGAGAGGCGGGGGGCAGTACAACTCTTTAAACTAACAGTGCCTGCTGCTAACACATGCAGTACGTCTCCTATGAGTAACAGGGCAACTCAGGGCAATATCCGATGGCTTTTTACTAGAAACCTGCAAGAGATGGGACACGCACCATTAAACTTAACTAATAGTGTTTGGTGCCATATCATGAAGAAAAAAAAAAAGACTAAACTTCAGCTTTAAATACAGCACTCTATGAACAAAACCCTAAATGTCACCCTCATATGATAACATCTACTTTAATGAAGCAAGGCTTTCAGTTTTGTAAAATGCAATTGCGTTTCTTTAGATAGAGCTCACTGCTACGCACCATTCACTGCTCTGCAGGGAGAACACATCATCAATGTTTGGATTTTCCCACCGAACACAGAACACTCTGTGGAATCACCCGGAAACCACGTGACACGACGAAACCCAGGAAGTTTGTACGTGGTCGGACCGATCAGGTTGGGGGAGGGGGCGTGGCTGTGATATCTTCCGGGTTGAGGCAGTATAGGCTGGGTGAAGTCTGTCAGTTCTTGTGTTCATAGGGAGAGGCGAACTGTGTGTGAGGCGCATTAGAACAGGCGAGCCTTTGTTACTCATAGGAGACGATCGCAGACCATGGCTTATTACAATCAACAGAATCGTCCTCGTGGCGTTCCCGACCAGAATTTCCTCGGCAGTGTCTTCCAGAGGTAAATGGTTATGTCTACACTTCTTGCTCCTAGAGTCTTCTGCTCCTTCTATGTGGTGATGGTAGTTGTTGTCCGGGAGATCTTCTGTGGGTAGTCTCATGCTCTAGCTTTCCTTCCTTTTGTATTTTTTGTTTGTATAGTGATTCAAGTTTCTATACTTACCTGTGTCTCTGAACTGCTGCTGAAATTCTTGCCTATGGTTTTGCACCTTTAGAATATCTTGATTGGCCAGCCCTGGATCATGTGACACCCATGCATGCGCACAGGGTTAATTAAGCCTGGGCCTGGTGTGAACCCAGTTTGCCCAAGCTTGTTTAAAGGAGAACTATGAGATGAGTGATTTCCACTCACCTCATAGTTCTAAGCCGACCTGTGACAATGAGACTGTCACAGGTCGGCTCAGTAGATCGGGAGGTGAGGGAACACATACCGGGTTCCCTCACCTCTCGATCCTGTCACGGCTCTCTGCCGTGACAGGGGGGGGGGCGGGATTCCCCTCTCCCCGCTCAGCGGCGTCTCAGTATACCGCGAGCTGTAGCTCGCGGTATACTGAGCTTAGGGTAACGGGAGGATGCTAGTTTGTGTCCTCCCGTTGCCCTAAGGAGAACTATGGGGAAAACACTGACCCCGTAGTTCTCCTTTAAAACTGACCTCCACTTTGCCCTCCTGCCCAATCAGTGGCGTTAGCTGTGGTGGTCGCATTTCCTGCCCCTTTTGTGATGTATAACGCTGGAGTATGCTCCTCTCTGCAACTGATTGGGTCATGAGGAGTGGGTGGCAGTTAGAGCTGCAGCTAACGATTATTTTTAAAATCGATTAGTAAGCCGATTATTAAGTTCGATTAATCGGATAAAAAATAAAATACATTTTTAAAAATGGCTCCAGTGATGGGACTACTAGTTTGTATTGAGATTGCACTCCATCACAGGAGCAAGCTTGGAGCGGTGGAAGTAAAAAAGAAAAGTGTGGTGTGCATTTTAGTGAAATGAAAAGTGTAAAATTATACAGCAATGATGAAAAATGGCATCGACTATAGAGGACTACAAAACTCAGCAATAGTACAGTATACAGCACAATGCCGAATACCACCAGCTATAAAGGAATACAACAAATCCCAAGGCAGTCACTGGCTTGAGTGGGCTTGGGCAAACTGGGCTTACAACAGGCCCTGGCTCATCTTTAATCCTGGCATGAAGGCATTCTGAGAATATACAGCAATCTGCATGCAGTGTACATGAGGGGAACCATTACTGGTAGACGGGAGCTTCTATACTATACATCCTTCCCCAATTACAATGCCATGCCTGTAAACTCTCACTAACATCTTTACCTGCTCCCCTTTTGGGCTCTACATCTTCAGCTGTTTTAATTGGCCAGCCCATGCATGTGCACACGAGTTTATGTCATTCTGGCATCAAGTCGATCTGCGAATTAAGTTGATCTACACAGTGTACATGAGGAGAAAGATTGCTGGCAGACATGAACTTTTATACTATACTTGCCTTCCCAACAGCGATGCAACAATCTTTGCCTAGTCCACCTCCAGGTTTGATGTCTTCAGCCAGAATGGCATGAATGCTATGCCTGTGCACAGGAGGTAATTCATCCTGGCATCAAGCCATTCCAAGGATGCACACCAATCTGCGCATGCATGGTCAGTGTAGATGAGGAGAAACATTGCTGATAGGTAGGAGCTTTAACTGCAGAATAGTCATACAGAGGAGAATTTACCAAAACTAGTGCGGACTGAATCTGGAGCACTTGCCCATGGCAACCAGTCCGCTTGTATCTTTAATTTTTAAAGCTTAACTGAACAAACTGAAGAGAGAAGCTGATTGGTTGCCATGAGCAGCTGCTCCAGTTTTGATTAACCGTCTTTTATAGCTGGCAGTATTCTGCATTGCTGTAAAATGTATTACTGGGATTTGTAGTCCTCTATAGTCGGTGCCATTTCTGCCTTGCTGTATAATGTATTTATAGGATTTGTAGTCCCTCTACAGCTTGGAGTCAGTGGCAGAACTACCAGGATTGCAGCATATGCAGCTGGGCCCCGCCCCTTGCGCTCCTCCGCTGTCCTAAAATCATTAGTCTGTATTGTTTTAGAAAAACTGTCGCATGACACTAAAAAAAGGTATACGTAATTGGTATCCACGAGTACTTGAGGAAAAGTAGAGGTACTCGGCCTGGACAAAATTGTATCGCTGCATCTCTATTAGGACTAGATCACTGTCCTTGAAAGCATCTGTCGTCCATCCAGTGAAAGTGATCTATTCCTAAGCGCATGTAATTGTATCACATAGGATTACATGAGTGCCGGCGACTACCACTTTCAAATTCTGCTGCTTTCACCCAAGCATTAATTTGAATGGGTGACAGCCGCTACTAAACTACATATTTAAGATTTCTGCCCCAGGATTTTGTAGGTTGCTACAGTAGAAATCTTAACGCACTGGGTATGAATGCAGCCAACTGTTTTAGTGCATGGCTACAGTTCCACTTTGTTATTTTGCAGCTAGTCCGTAATGGGGATATAAAGGCACCAGCCTCACATTTGGAATTCAGAATGAGCTTTGGGAAATGAATCATAGCTTGCTTTCCCCGAGAGTGGGGTATAAGACTGGAAACCTGATTGGTCGGTTTCCATTCTTATACCCCACTCTCAGGGAAAGTAAGCTATAATTCTGATGAAGGGGGCTTGCCCCTGAAACGCGTCAATCTTGGCTGACTGCGGTCGGTGGATGGTGATGTGACCGGAGACTACTGTGTTACATAGTCGGGGGGGGATACCATGTTGGGTTAACAGACAGTGTGGCCTCTCGTTTGTTATTAAAGCCTGACGAAAACGTTTGTTTGCGAGTACCTTTTATCCCTTGTTTTATTTATTGTAATAAACGATTTTACACACGAAGGTGGTGCTCTGTTCCCTTTTTGTTTTTGAGATTATCCCCCTCCTACTCTCTCCTAGCAATCTGCTATCCGAAGCAAAAGATAACTTTTTGGCTAATCTCTCACTTCAGGGGTACAGTTGATTGTATACCAATTTCTTTTTTTCATACAGAGTGGACACAGACAGAAGTGGTGTTATATCTGATACTGAACTTCAGCAAGCATTATCCAATGGTAAGAAGGGGGGCTGGGGGGTTGTGTATAATCTATGTACAAATCTGCAAATTTGTATTGGTGATATGTACAGTGCACTCTGTGTACTTCACACACCAAGTACTTCCTAATTACACTAAGGTATCTGATGGAATACTATTCATAATATATGGTGGTTCAGATGGCTGTATTAGCTACTTTGAGTAACATTGGAACATATATATTTCATCCTTCTGTCCTGACTGTTTTTCTTAAGTAATGTTTGAGATTAAGTTTTTTGAGCCTTCTGTAGAGGGTTTAGTTGAAACTTGACCCTTAGACTTGTCTGAGAGCTAGAAGTGAAGCACGGCCATTGTGTAGTACTAAGGAAGCAAAGTTCTACACAAGACCTTGCAGTTTACAAGTGAGATCTTCCTGGAGGCCCTGGCTGGGTTAGTAGTGCCTGTTGAAGGCCAGGAAGTGAATTTTAAAAAATTGTAAGTTGACAAATTACTGATTGCACATATACTTTGCATATGTTTAGGAATCAGCCTGCAGAGCTGCATGCACCAAGGATTTTTGTATTTAGGGGCAAAGTTCCACTTTAAATGGTAATCGACTTTCTCACAAAATGTGAGAAAATGAACTTAACCAGAATACCCTGCTGCTATCCAGTGTACCGTTCATGCACTGTACTGTAGCCCCACACTAAGGATCTAGCATAACACTCGCAAATGGTGGGCACTCATTGGTCAGCACAGTCACATGAACACGCTGACCCGGTGACCGTGCTGACCAATGAGCGCTCGCCATTTGCTGGATCCTCAGTGCAGTGTATGGATCGTACACAGGCTAGTGGTAGGGCGGCGAACCTCTGCCCACCCCTGCATGAATAGCAGGGGTGGGCAGAGGTTGTAGAATTCTCTGGGTGAGTCCACATTCTCACGTTTTGTGAGAAAGTGGAATTACCCTTTAACAGAAAAGTTTATTTACATTACACAGTCATATTCATATATATTTAGTAAATGTTTTTGATATAGGGATGCTTCTAGGAATCCCTAACACACACCGAGTAGTTAATTTGTTAGTCTGTGAACGCAATACACAATTTATGCCTATTTGGCTCAAAACACTTCAACGCTTAAGGAAGCAATCCCCTTTTACAGTGTTGTTTTTTTCAAGATCGTTGCACTTAACTTTGAACCCAATGGCATCCACCCACTCTCCATAAAAAAAAGTTATAGTCTTGTTCAAATTGCTTTAAAAAATTGCTAACATACTTTCTTTTGCCTCTCTTCCCCCTCCAGGTACATGGACACCTTTTAACCCCATTACTGTTAGAGCCATTATCTGTAAGTATTCATTAAAGCTGATAAATACAAAGCTCAAATACTTTCTAAGATCAGATGACACCAGCGCCCAAGGCTCTTGATATGTTTCAGCATATATAATGATAGTAATAGTACTACATCTTCTCACAGTCAGGGACTGTAAACAAAAACCTAGAGAACGCCTTCTCCTGTGCATTATCATTTATTGTAAATAAATACGAAACAATAAAAACATACTCACAAAGGTGAGGTGCCTTATTAACCCCCACACATAAAATAATACGCTCCCCCCTTATTAACCCCCGCACCATAAAATAATACGCTCCCCCTTATTAACCACCCACACATAAAATATTACACTCCCCCTTATTAACCCCCACACATAAAATAATAGTCTGCATCTGTGTCGGAGCTGCCCCCGCAAGTCAGGTACGTGGTCTGCGACCGTGTGCCTGACATGTCAGCTGGCTGTGGGCAACATAGTACCGGCTCGCGGGCCAGAGTTGGTCCGCGGACCGATACTTGGAGACCCAAATTTCCACTTGCCCTCACCTTATTTTTACTCGCCAAATGCGAGCAGGCGAGTGGAAATTTTGAGCCCTGCTGTACCTGACGGGTTGCAGGTGTCATATGCACTTAACCATTATTGTGATGGGGAGACCATAGCTCTGTTATGTTTCTGGTTTGCAATTTTACGAGTATGTTGTATGATAGACCTAGATTGTTCTGTTTAAATTGCCAATATATGCAATGACTTACCTCCTTAGACCCAGTCTGTGCGGATAGAATGGCCACTTGTTAATTTGACACATTCCACCGCATTTCAGTAACCCACAGAAGTTGAATCCAGCGTAGTTTTAATTAAGCAAAGTTAATTTCGGTGTAAGCTGATGATGCCAAAATATGCAGGTAACCAATTCAAATAGCAACCTTACAGGAAGACCTTGACAAAATATGGTGTGGATATCTTCATTGCAGATGAGATTTCAATATTGAAAAATGTACAGTTATGCATTTCGGTACTAAAAATGTGCATGCAAACTACTCCTTAACCCTTTCCCTGCCAAGGACATACGGAGGAACAAAAGTGGCCAGGTCTGTATGCCGTATGGACCTGGCAATTACAGTTCTGCAACCATGAGCTTATACTAGAACTGTTCCCCGGACTGTCCCCTTCAAATTAACCAGTTGACATCCGCGGTGTTAAACCCCCTTCCCATCCAGGAGTCATCAGTAGCATTCACTACATGGGTACTAGCACTCACTACAGAGGCTCCTCCCAATTCATAAACTGGTAATAGTAAAATATTTGTACTGTCATCAGTTTCTGAATGAATGGGAAGCCTCTGTACTGAGTGCTTCCCATTCATTGAGAGCTGGGGCTGCAGAAAAAGAAACGCAAAAATAATTCAAAGTTTTTAAGGATGTCCTTTATAAACTTGAGAGAGTGCAGAGATGTGCGATTTTAAATTAATAAGGAAGCTAGGGGGCCTAGGCTTACAGAAATTGTACTTATTCACTCTGGAGGAAAGGTCCAGAGAGGATATGATCTCAATGTACAAAATGTTGACTGATGGTAAAATTGGTTGTAAAGCATTTACTCTTAAGGTGCCCATACACTGCACGATAATCGTATGCGATCGGTTTTTCGTACGATAATCGAGCAGTGTGAACGGAGACGTGCAAGGGCAACTAATCGATGATGAGAATCGTTACCAACGATTCTCATTATGGATTTAATCGATTTAGTTGTTGCAGCTCTAATGTGTATCGCTCACCCTCGAAGGAGCCGCCAAAGTAACCCAGGTATTTCTATCCCCCACACCAAATTTGATCCACAGCACACCAACACACCATTAAAGAGTTTGGTAACAGATTTTTATAATCAGAGTATATGCATAGAACAATGCAACCATAAACACAAGAACAAAATAAAGAATATTCAGTAATAGGCTAAGGCACTCTGACACCAGCTGCAGCTATCTACTGTATATCCTGAGATGTGTACTGCTCGAATTACTTCAGAAATTGTCTTCCAACTGAATGTATAGGTATATATCTGTGTATTCAACTTTACTACCTCCACTCTCAAACCGTCTGACTCTCTAGACTACTGGCCGGTAGTTGGGTTCTAGGCTAGCCAACGTTGGGGCCCATACTATATTGCAGGTATGAATGTGAATGTATCACAATGGCCAAAGGCCTCTCACCACTCCCAAGGTCAGGGGTCAGGTAGCAGAGATGTCCGTCAGCGAGAGATGGGCACCCCCTTTCTCTCAAGCTAACTCCTTTTTGAAGATGAAGTCATCTGGGGGGGTCTCTTGAGTAAGGTCTCCACTCATCCAGGGCACTGGGTCGTTGTCTCTGTCACCACCGTCAGACTTCCCTGTGGTACATGATCCACAATCAATTTCCTGTGTCCTTCAATGAACGCAGAGAAAAGGAGCAAACCGTTTCGTTTTTCTTTTGGTTTTATCAAGAAATGTTTTACTTTTAACAAGATCCTTCAGTTGCTGCAAAAACAATGTGGCTAATATTTTTCGGCTTCCATTTACTCCTTGATGTTGCTCTGGGGCAGCGGTTCTCAACCTGTGGGTCGCAACTCACTGTTGAGGGGGTCGCAGCATCCACTTCTGCTGTGCTAGGTGACATGCTCCTCAGCCTCCTCCTAGCGCAGCAGTATTAGTCAGCTGGAGGACAGCAGAGGCTGTGAATATAAAAGTGCTGCTGTAGAAACTCCGTGGCCGCTGTAGCGACATCTAGTGGCCGGGGAGTGTGTACAGCAGGGCTTTTCTATTCACAGCCGCTGCTGTCCTGCCTCATATACAATGTGAGCTCTGCAGGAGGCGGGCGTCTAAGCAGTGCTGGGGCTGAGAAGGCTGCATGGAGACCGAGCAGGTAGCAGGGGCTGGGGAGGGCTTGTATTCTTGTGAGTGTGCTTCTATTTTTAGTCCCAACTCCAGCGCCTTACTAATTCTGGAGTCCAGTGCTCTGTTGGGGGTCACCACAACTTGGCAAATGTTACCAAGGGGTCCCGGCCCTAGAAAGGTTGAGAACCACTGCTCTGGGGGATCGTTCCCATTCCACCAGGAAGAAGCAGAGCCAGTCTGTAATGCTGCCTTCTGGACTTGGTATTTGCTGCTCACCTAGGCAAACGCATTGTTATCCTCGGGGTGCCCTGCAGGTCCATGGCTATGGTCCACTTGTCTAGTAATATCCTATCCCTGGAGACCCCTTTGGGGTAAGCCTGTAGGGTTGAGATGGGGGGCATTGCACCAAACTAGCCCAGGAGGATGTGGTATTTACGACTCATCAGGCTTCTTGATGACTAGTTTGGGGGCCCCTCTAGATTTTCCAGATCTTCTGTCCCAAGGACTATTTTACCACCCTGCTTCTCGGTCACTGGTTTTAGTCTGCATTCACACCTAAGCATCACTGTTTTTGCATGCGCTTTCGCTTAGCGTAGTTTGCTTATTTTTTGTATTTTGTTTTTGTGCGTGCTAGACGCGTGCACGTGAAGATGCATGTCTTGGCTGGCAGATCGAATACATTGTGGCCAATGAGAACGTACAGAAAAACACACGCACAAAAATATGCAAAATGCGTTTTCAGGCTCTTCCATTGAAGTCTTTGGGACCAAACACTCTGCAAAATAGCTCAAACCTTTTTGAGTGACAGACATTTTGCAGCTTTGCGACAAAGCACCTAGGTGTGAATGGGGCCTTAATAGGCTGGCTGTTGAGATCCAGGTCCTGAGGGATAGAAGCCTACCTCATTCAGTTATCCCTGCACTCCTAAAAGCTAGGAAGTTGACTTCTCTGTAAATCTACCCTTACCCCTTGAAAGTGTAAGGCTGTTCCTGTTGCAAGGCTGGGAATTTCCATCCCAGGAAGTACTTTGTGGGACATATTCTCTTTTCTCCAGTCTGGCCTGGATCAACAGTTGGCTTTGAGTACCTTTTTTTTAAAGGTTCAAATGTCAGCCCTAGCATTATTTTTGCAAATACTGCTTGCCACTCTCCCCCTTTTTGTAAGGACCTTTTATGTACAGGGCATCGCTCCCAATGTTCCTTCTGTATGTTCTCCAGTGACTCTGGCTAAATGATTCTGTTGGCCCTTCCAAAACTGGCTTTTAAACCTAGTAAGTATATTTCTCGATCTGTCCTTACTCGCAAGGCTGCCTTTCTTCTCGCCATCACTTCTGTGAGATGAGTTTCTCGGTTGGCAGTACTAACCTATACAGAACACTTTCTTGTGTTACACAAGAACAGGTTGTTTTAAGGCCCAGGGTCTCTTTTCTTCCCTAGCTTTCATCTTAACTAGGAGCACCCCAAAGAGATTTTGTTCCACAGTGTTTTTTAAATTTGTCTTGGCTACAGCTTCCTTTTGTCAGTTCAAAAAAAGTTTGTTTTTTTGTTCCATAGCCAAATTTTCATTCTACTTTTTAGTAGGTGGATTTGTCAGCTCATCCAAGTTTTTTTTACCTCGGGCGAGGTATCCAATCTCCTGTAGGTGAAAGTATAACCCTGTGTGCCAGATTACTATCATAGTCTCTAGGGATGCACCGAAACATATCGGCCGACAATGGCACTTTTGGCTAAATGCGGAAAGTGCCATTTTCCTGCTGATACATTGGTGCATCCCAGTTTTCTTTCCTCCCCGCTGGGCGCTGCTCTGTGTCCCAGTGGGGAGGAGAGAAAGTGACAGCCGGCCGAGCACTGCGGGAGGAGAGCGATGTGAGCAGCCGGTGTCTCTCCTCCCACACCGCTCAGCCACCTATCACAGTCCGGCAGAGCGGTGTGGGGGCAGGGACAGCACGCGCTGTCACAGGAGGCTGGGCTTTCCTCTCTACACTGCTCGCTCAGCCTCCTGTGACAGCGTGTCAGAGGAGAACGAGAGCAAACACTCAGTGATCACTGATTGTTTGTAAATATATGGTATGGTTACTATAGCCTCAATAATGAAATGTGAAGTGGAACGAAATCACTTCCTGTTCAATTATAGTTGTAGTTATAGTAAACCTACTATGTTCTCAAGTTATCAATGAACAGAAACACTCATAGTGGATTCCTGTTCATTGATAACCGGGGATACAGAAAAAGAAATTGAGGACTCTGTGTTCTCAGTCTCTTTTTCTATTTTAAAAGGGAAATATCAGGGATCTGTTTAGACCCTCAATATTTCCCCGAAGCCCCTAAAAGTAAAGTGAAAAAAGAATTAATAAATATTAAAAAAATTAAAACGTTTATAATAAATAAAAATAAAATTATTAAACTTTGAAAACATTTAAATAAACATTTTCAGTTTCGGCCTGACGATCCTTTTTTTTTTGTTTCGGTTTTTACATTTCTATTTCGGCGCACCTCCTAATAGTATCCCATAATGTACTCAAAAAAAAAAAAGGGATTTTACAGGTAATGCAAAACGCCTCCTATTTTATTTGTAAAATAAAGCCATATACACCATCACAGTTACTCATTGCAATCACAGCTTTTCCTTTCTTGTTCATTGAGGGACACTGAAATTCAGAGTCTGTTGTATTATACTGCCACCTACAAGAGGATTTGGACACAAATAAGAAAACAGTGGCCCGCCTGGTATAATCCCTCTTCCTCCCAGCATGCCTTCTAGTGTCTTAGGAGGGTGAACACATATGCTCTGCTCTGCTGAGAAATATCAATTCCTTTTGCTAGGTTTTTTTTTTTTTCTTCCTTCAAGATTCCTTTACAAGTTGCTAAGCTCTATACAAGGCTGTCCTAATCGACAGCTCCTCAGAACTAGCTTTTGGAGGCAATAGCCGGACCTCGCTGGACTGGACAATTGTGGGGCTAGCCGGGAATGTGAACTTTGAGCACTGGGGCCTGCATTGTGTCACTTTACAAACCTGATTTGTACTGTGTTAGTCCCAGGTGTTGCCCTGTCCCAGAAGACTCACTTTTTGAGTAGGCTGTGTGGGCCAAGCACCGGGAGCTACCTCATCACCAGGGCCACTGGGCACTATCCCTATTTTCCATCTGTTTTCTGCAGGAGGGTTTAATGCTGGGGGACCGAGTGCTATTCAACATATAGGAAGCACCTTCCTACAGTGGCCTGGTCACCTCCAACTGCTTAAACCTTTCCTTTTACCAGAAGCTGGTTCTTGGGTATTCAAGACCAGGCCTTTTATCTTGAACTATGTTGCTCCTGCAGTGCAACATGCCAGATCTCCGGAACAATGTATGGTCCATTAACAGTTCTGTTAACAATACTGACAGTCTAGAATATGCCTCTCTGCCTTAGAAATCTTTCTTAGTTCCATCAGGCATGACACTTTCCTCGGTTCTATCCTGGGAGAATTACATTACATTACAGTCATGCAGGATTGTAGTTATCTAAATTTCAACTTTGACTGCTTACTGGCTGAAGAGGCCATAGAAGCAGACCGGCACTAGCACAACTTTATCTGCAAAGAGGACAACTCCAAACTTGGAAGACTAGGGAGTATGCCCTTTGTTTCTTTTTTTATTGTTGTTATTCTGGGACAAATATTAGATTTAATTTATTTTTAATTAGATGGGGTGAAGTTGTTCTTTAACAATATACTGTAGATCCATTAACATTAGACACTGTTTGTTTGTCAATGGTACTTACTATCTAACATTCCTATCTCATTCCAAAATGTTTAGTGAAATCCAGTTACCCTACTAGAATGTTTTAGATTGTAGGAGAAAACCCATGCAAATATGGTGAGCACATAAAAAAAATCCATGAATAAAGTGTATGTTAGGGAACCAAGAAACCAGACAGAAACTAAAGTGCAGGTTAAAAATAAAAGGAGTTTTTTTTTGTAAATGACCAAGAATGGGGGGAAAAAAATGAAGACAGTACAGGATGTCATCGGTACCAAGCCAGGGGTCAGATGCCAAAGCAGGTAGTCAGCTAAACCAGGTCAGGGAACACTGAGAGCAGGATGAAATTAAACAATAGCCAGAGTCAGGAACCGGGAGATCAGTCAGCCAGAGCCAGGGTCATACACGTTGAACAGGAACAACAGCAGAGCACATGGTAGATCAGAACACATGCAAAGGGGGAGACTAAATGGACAAGCTGATGGTTAAATATTGAACTGGTGTTGCATTATCCCTATGAGACAGGAATTTGTTAGGTGTTTTTCCTGTAGTTGCAGAATGATGGTTTACGGGTTTAGTCATAAGAGGGTGCCAAAGAAGAACGAACAGTGTCGGACACACTGCACACAAGTCAGGCTGCAGCCAACTAGACAAGGAAGGGTAACAAAACCTGGACAGTGTCCTAGGTGGGATTCATATTGTACAATAAATAGAAGTAAAACTAAGAGGGACTTGGCACAGATAAGGAACAAAAAGGCAGTGAAATGAAGAGGAAACGAGGAACATGAAAGGAAAGAGGCAGGTACTATGCGAGAGAAGGTAAGATGCTAGGAACAGAAAGGAGGAGGCTTTGCATGGAGGAAGATGAAGGCTGTAAGAACTGATTTCCAGTGCGAAAGGTTTATATCAGGGAGCAGAGTGCTTAGTGGCAAGGAAACCACAATAAAGGTTTGTAGGATGGGCTGATAAATGTTGCTAGGATGGAGGATTGTGAGGTTGGAGGAAAATGAATGTATAAATATTTGTACCAGTGAAATAAGCATGACAAATGATCTGTAATAGACGTATACAAGAAAATATCCTAAAACAAATGCCATTAAAGTACAATTTTTATGTATGTGTCAAGATGATCAAGACTGTTTTAATGTCCTATCATGCTCTTTTTCAGCTATGTTTGACCGTGAGTGCAAAGGTGGTGTAAACTTCACTGAATTCACTGGGGTATGGAAGTATATAACTGATTGGCAGAATATATTTCGGGCCTATGACAGAGACAATTCTGGATTTATTGACAAAGATGAATTGAAGCAAGCATTATCAAATTTTGGTAATTTTTTTTTTTTTTTTTACCAATTGCTTAGGAAAGTTCTCTTCAGATATTATGTGGATATACATAATCTCTTCAGATATTATGTGGATATACATAACTTACTCCTATTTTAGACATCTGTATTATTTTTTTTCTCCATAGATCTATATTGAAAATAGTACCCTAATATTTACTAAATTGGATTCTAGGAGTTTATCTGTTGAAAAATTAAGCAAAGGTACATTGCACAGATACCAGTGCCAATACTTGGCGTTTTCAGGAGAACTACCAAGATTGCAGAAGTTGCAGCTGGAACCTGGCTCTGGCACTGTCCTGAAACTAGTCTGTATTGTTTTAGAAAAACTGTCGCATGACAAACAAAACAGTATCAGTAATTGATATCTGTAAGGACAAGTATTGGTACTTGTACTTGGTCTGGAAAAAGTGGTATCGGTGCATCCCTAGAGGTTTTTTTCTAGTCTAGTAGCTGGGAAAGTATTTGTACTTGTACCAAGTACAGTACTTGGTGTCTGTGCATCCCTATTAAAATTTGCACTACTTTTCATATATACACTCCATTATCCTTTTAATTCTTAATGCCTAAATGAGAAGTTTTGGGAGAGTAAAGTATACTCTTCCCAACACATAGAGCTCATGTGGGACACTCCAGTTGTCACACGCCTGCTCTATATACTGAGTGATCGTAAACTGCTGATAGCTCAGCTCACAGCTTCTACCCACAGAGAGCTGTAACTGTCATTCACTGCAGGGATTGCCCCCTCTCTTCTCTGTTCCTTCAGCACTCACTGGAAGGAAGGAGGCGAGCACAGCTGGCTCTCGCTTGAAAGAGGCAGAGCCAGCTGTCAATCAGGCAGCTGGGTGGATTCCGACAAAATCCTTCCCGGCTGCAGTGCGGCTTTGTGCTCTTGGCATATAGCAGGCAGTAAATGTACTCCTGTGACCCAGAAGAGAAGTTAAGCCTTTACTACTTTTTTTACCAGTTCAGCTTTAAGGCTGGGTTCACACCCTTGGCGTATAGAATATGCGCGTTTGCACCGCGATTTGCAGTAAAAGAAACGCGCGTTTCCGAGGGCTGTATCCCAATGGATACGCGCGGCAAATACGCCCCAAAGAAGTTCCTGTACTTGTTTGGGCGTTTTACAGCGCGTTCCTAGGCGCTGTAAAACGCCCAGGTGGGAACCATGCCCATAGGCAATCATTGGTTTTCACATGTTGAGCGTTTTACAGCACGTAGGAACGCGCTGTACAACGCCCAGGTGTGAACTAGTACACCTGTACTTTCCATATAGATCAGATGAAATGTAACATTTGTTTCACGTTTTATGTAAAAACTTTGTGATTACTTAGGATAACAAAGTGATATGTATATTTCTTTTGGTGATTTTTGTCTTGCAAAATTGATTTAATTTCTTTGTGCCAAAAAGCTCACAAATTGATCAGTGGGATTTTTTTTTAAAAAAGAGGTATTTTTATTTAATTTGCAAATAACTTTGCAATCCTTTTGCACAGGAATCATATTTTGAATCGTAAACAGGACAAATTAAAAAGTATCCATTTTATTCTATCTACAATAGCAATATTTTTTTCTGTATGTTCTCTTGGGCAGGGTATCGCTTGACGGATCAGTTCTATGATATTCTCATTCGCAAATTTGACAGGCAGAAAAAGGCTCAAATTGCCTTTGATGATTTCATTCAGTGCTGCACTGTTCTGCAGGTGAGTATTTAAATGCCCTTCTCTTCACTGTATCCATGCAACTTTTAAACTAGTAGTGGCAGCACATGGTGGCATTGATTGCATGTTCTACTAGTTTTACAGCAGTGCAAGATAAAAAAAATTAAAAAGCCAGTCAAACACAACATATTTGGTCTCTTAAAGACGAGGGCTTTTTAATAGTTTTGAATGATCGGACCTTTTCAAGAATCGTTTTAAATTCACACCCTAAATACCAATAAAAGCAAGCTATTCATATGCGTATACACCATATTCACTTACAGTAAATCTACCATATGTTCTAAAAAAATTGAGACCTAAAGTGCGGGCTAAGAACAGCCACCTTAAGGTGCTGAATATTGCCTTCCTTTACCAGATAAGATTTTTCAGCTTGATTTTTTTTTTTCACCGTCCATTGAGAGTGCCCGTATTTGCCAACAAAGCATTTTATTGAAGAAGGGGTCAATAGCTAATCGAAGTTTAAAGTATATCTAAAGTCAGAATTGGTTTCATTTTGGTTAGAATAGGGAATGATTGCAGCCCCTGTTGCTTTTTTGCCATCTTTGTAACATTTGGGAGAGTTACCGTCACTTTCTGTTCTGTAGACACAACAGGAAGTAATTAGAAATCTTTCCAAAGTAAGGGGAATCCCCTCTAAGACCATTATCGCCAGAACAAGTGTACCCATTGGAACACTTTCACTCTATTCTTGCTCTGGAAGCAATGAAAAATGTTGGCTTTTCCCTCAATTTCATTCCCGGGGACAAGTGGTCTCTAGGACCTCTCAAGGGTGGGACTCAAACGGCAACAAAAAAAAAAACCCCCACAGGTGTCACACATTTTATCCAAAACTAAAAGGGAAAAAAAACTGACTTCAGATATGCTTTACATTGCATGTCAGATTGTGACACTATTGTAATTGACAATGCATCAAAACACCACATGTGTGAGTGCTAATACAGTATAAGAAATTCTTCATATGTTGCAAAAAATTTATATGCAATGCTAAAACTGGCCATAGATCTGGAAATGTTGGCGTGTTTTTTTTTTGTTTTGTTTTGTTTTTTGTTTTTTCTTTCTTCTAAAAATGCACATCCATGCATGATGTGTTCTTGCACAAAGAAGACATTTGTTTCTTAACCTTGTACTGGGGTGAAGTAGTGACTGCATGTTTATTCCCCCCTTTAGCAAAAATGTATGTTTGTTGCCTAGATCACCTAAACCAGTCTATTTTCATTTTTGGCCACCTAATTTTTATGTACTACACATACATATCACTTACTTGTAATTATATCAAACTCAATACCATCAATGTCATCTTGCTTACATACTGTACATGTGGATGGTTTTAATTAGGGGTGTCCCAATACCACTTTTTCAAGACAAAGTACAAGTATTTGCCCTCATGTACTTGCCGATACCAATTATCCATACTTTTTCTTAACGGGACATGTGACATTTTTTTCTAAAACAATACAGACTAATGGTTTTAGGGCAGTTTCTCACCAGACTGTATCGAGATATCGCCAGGCTGCCTATACCGTTCGCACCAGGCTGCGTGCAGAATTTGTATGCAGCCTGGTGCTACTTGGACGCAGCCTGGTGCCATCTGGACTCCAGATGTTACCAGGGCTGCGTCCTTATGTCACCAGGGCTGTCTATTGGGTGTCTCTAGTGCTGCTGACGGGTACTGTGATGAGGCAGCTCAAGCGGAGCGGGTGCCGGTCATGTGCCTGCTCCAAGGCTGTATTCGTGGTGTGGGGCTGCCTTGAGCAGTGCCTGCCCCAGGATTTAGGAGGAGGAGACATGGGACCTGGCAGGCAGTGTCGAAGATGGCTACCGCCAGGTTTCCGGAAGGCTGCTTCGGGACCTGAGGCAGCCGATCCTATTTAAAAATATAAAGGGCCATTATCGGCCTTCAGCATCGGGGCATTTTCATGAGTACAAGGACTCGTGAAAATGCCCTTTATTGGCCCTGATACCGATACTAGTATCGGTATCGCGACATCCCTAGTTTTAATGGAAGTGGGGTGTGAGTCCCCAAGGTTTGTGTTATTTGTTGGATGTATGTGACGGTATGTAGTGATATTGTGCATTCGTGTCATGCAAGTATTGTTTCATTAAGCATTTTAATAGCAGAATGTTACCGTTGAAAGCTTCTTGTCTGTCTACCTGCTCTTATGCAAATTACTTTCATGGTTGTATCTGGCTTATGGTTTAGTTGTCTGGGCTTTATGATCTTCAAATAAGAGCTGATCTGCAATAATACCAAAGCTCTATCTGAACTTCCAAGATCCAGGCTATATTTATATGGTGGGCTGCATTATAGTTTTGGGTGGAGGTATGCAATTTCTTGAGTGAAGAGCAACATGGTGCACTGTGTTTAATCTCAAACTGGACTCTGAGTACACTAGATTTCTGGCAGATCAGCAGGCGCTACCTTAACCCCTTCATGACTGAGGCCCTTTTTTCATTTTTTGCACCCATGTTATATTCCACATTTTAGGCCTGAAAATGACGTAAAACCCCCCAACATTATATATTTTCTGAATGCCAAGACCCTATAGAATACACAGCAGATTACCTGTGTTACAATAAAATATTTTCCATTTTATTATTCATACAACTAATTAAAAGCATGATAACATTAAATCACTTGGGACACTTCTATTCTTTAACAACATATACGTACACCTATATCACCATTCTAGCCCCCCACATGTTCTATACATTTAGGTTTTATTGTGATGCTGTTCAATCCACAACTGGGATAGGGTGAATATCCAATGCATTTCACAGTTACTACACTGTTTCTTCAGGGCATGGTGGATCACATGTAAACCTTTACATCTCATATTCATTACAACATATTGTCACTGTTCATCATTCCTTTTTACATTCAACATTTTTATAGATCCCATCAGTTGCCACACATGGTCTCCCAAACCTGGCTAGTACTCCAGGGGGAAGGAGGGGGGATATATATAGGTCACATGATGCTAGCAGTGAAATAAGAGATATAGTTCTAAATAATACCTGTAGGTAATTATAGGTATAACTACATTTCCTATTGGGTATATATGGTCAATTTTTAGATGTAATTAACCCCTTATACACATCCAAATTTAATTTTCAACATGTAGTTTATCGTCTATCATGGGATAATATAGATATTGCTTACTTGATTTGTGACCTATTCTGTGATATTCCTGTATGAACTAATAAATCCAGTGTTCATATGAAGTTTCCAAACATCCATTTTCTGTACATTCTATATGTTGATGCGCTGAAAAGACCACTGGGCTAAGATCCGCATGCACACAGCTGATAACACCACATGGCTGCGGCATCTAAGCAGTGGGCACATGCAGTGGGGACATACAAAGGGAGGAGAGAGGGAGAAGTGCCCCTTTGCACTGGTTGGAGAGGAGTGGGGATTGTTTCCCTAGACTCTCCCCTTTCTTTTTGGTGTGTGTGATGGGATGCCACAGTAGTGGTGCCAGCAGGAGGTGAAGGGTAAGTCAGGGCCACCTTTTTGTTTTAATATTTATTTAATAAGATAATTATAGGTCTAAGAGTTTGTAAAAAAATTTTTGGGGGGAAAACATCGTTGAGAAATAAAAACTTCATATAGCAGGAAACGGAGACCTGTGTCTCGGTCACTGATTTATTTAGCAATTTGGGTATATTACAGAGAATATTTATTAGTGGACATATACAGGTGAAACTCGAATAATTAGAATATCGTGCAAAAGTTCATTTTTCTCTCCCGTTCATTGAAGGACACAGGGCAACAGATCGTAGATCCTGAATGGTAGGGTATATCGCCACCTGCAGGAGTAGGACGCTAGGCACATAACTAAAAAGACAAGACAGCCTAGGGGCGGCCCCTGACTGGCCATTCAAGCACAGTAATCCCACAGTCATTGAACCAGGTTTTGGTGCTTTTGGCAGTGTGGGCAGGTGCCAAGTCCTGCTGGAATATTAAGTCAGCGTCCGCATAAAGCTCGTCTGCAGAAGGAAGCATGAAGTGCTCCAAAATCTCCTGGTAGACGGCTACGTTGACCCTGGACTTAATGAAGCACAGTGGACCAACACCAGCAGATGACATGGCTCCCCAAACCAACACAGACTGTGGAAACTTCACACTGGACTTCAAGCATCTTGCAGTGTGTGCCTCTCCATTCTTCCTCCATACTCTGGGTCCTTGGTTTCCAAATAAGATGCAAAATTTGCTCTCATCAGAAAAGAGAACTTTGGACAACTGAGCAACAGACCAGGTCTTTTCTTTAGTCCAGGTAAGTTTGTTGTTCAGGAGTGGCTTGACAAGAGGAATACGACATTTGAAGCCCATGTCCAGGATTAGTCTGTGTGGTGGCTCTTGATGCACTGACTCCAGCCTCAGTCCACTCCTTGTGAAAGTCCCCAACACTTTTGAATGGCCTTTTCCTGACAATCCTCTCCAGGCTGCGGTCATCCCTGCTGCTTGTGCCCCTTTTTTTCTTCCACACTTTTCCCTTCCACATAACTTTCTATTAATGTGCTTTGATACAGCACTTTGGGAACATCCAACTTCTTTTGCAATTACCTTTTGAGGCTTTCCCTCCTTTTATGGAGGGTGTCAATGATGGTTTTCTGCACAACTGTCAGGTCAGCAGTCTTTCCCATGATTGTGATTCCTACTGAACCAGACTGAGAGACCATTTAAAGGCTCAGGTACTTTGAACCTTGAGAAAGGCTCAGGAACTTTGAGAACTTGAGCCATTTAAAGGCTAAGACACTTTGAGCCTCGAATATTGCACCTTTTCACAATATTCTAATTTTCTGAGATTGTGGATTTGGGGTTTTCATGAGCTGTAAGCCATAATCATCACAATTATGACAAATCACGGCTTAAACTATCTTGCTTTGCATGTAATGAGTCTATCTCGTATATTAGTTTCACCTTTTAAGTTGCATTAGTGAAATGAACTTTTGCACGATATTCTAATTATTCGAGTTTCACCTGTAGGTTATACTGCTGCCTTCAAGAGGTTTGGACACTGGCAAACTAGATATAAACTTTTAACCAGTCGCATTATAACCTCGCCGCCAACCGTCATGTCTCAGTTTTTTTTACTAGTGTCCTAGCAATATACTCTGTTTTCTGGAGATGATTTTTATTTTCAGTCAAGACATTTTAATATGCTGCTTGAGCTGGTCTCTATCCAGCAGCTATCCAAATCCGCGTATCCTCCAACAGCTTTGGAGGCCAGACCTGTACCCCCATAGTCTGCAGAATGTGGGGCTAGTCTGGCATGTGACCTACCGGCCCTGGGCTCTGCTTGTGGCCTCTAGTGTGACCCAGTCTCTGAAGACTCACCCTCTTACCAAGACAATGGATGGAGGAAAGATAACCTAGGATGTGGCCTTCAGGCATCGGGCTCTGGTTTTTAGCGTTTCCCGTGCCTTGTGTACTGTGTTAGCTGCAGAGTGCTCCCCAGGTACAGAGCAGTGGCACAGCTTTTGATGTGACCATGACTCTGCAGCCTTTTTTGACATCTTGTCTACTGGACTAATAGAGAGAGAGAGATTCAAATTGGCTATTTTGGCCTAGATTGTTCACTTCTCCTGCCTTCTCCAAACTCTTTGCCCTTTTGTGAATAAACCTGTTAGAAGTGGAGGTACAATTACCTTTAACAAAATAGAATGATGGTATTCTGACCCCTGTTGTTTCAGCTTTTAAACACAACGTCTATACTCCCACTTATCTTAATTGGAACTATTAATCTATTCAGAATGGTGTTTCTAGCAAAGTTTATGTATCTTCTCTCTAACTCCAGTTTATATTCCTAAATCCATTTTCTAAGAACTGAACTCCTTTAATTACCTAATTTATTTGGCACCCCAAGCCCTCAGATTCTCCCTTTCTACACTATCACTCCCATTGTCTCCAAGTGGCTTAGCACTTCCAGATTTGCAAAGATATTGCCTTGCCTCCCAATTGGTGTATGTATGTTGGTGGCTAGTCCCACAACTGAACAATGCAGCCACTGCCACAGAGGCTGTGGTAGTCTTCTCCTAGGTACCACATAAATCTCAATGGGCTAACGTGAGGCTCAAATGTATATAGGTTCTACCTGTAAGGCAGTTCCAAACCCTCTTCTTTACTAGAACAGGAATTTTAAGTACGTTCAACTTAGGCATTCTCCTGCAGCCTAGTTTGGTTTACAAGAATTTCACTTGTCCACATTAGGAGCCATCCTTTTCCACTCATCAATGCACAGCTGGTTTCCAGGATTTATAGTGTGCTATCTCAGGGAAGGCCCTCTAAACTTTCCAGGGTAAAGGTATAGTTCCTAATTTGACAGTTATATCCCTGAGAGATGAACTCATGCAATTCACATTCCTCCACAATGTGTACGTCAGCCCTGCCGACTATTTTAAAATGGGTAAAAGACCCAACCCTACCTGTAACAAGTGCCAGGAATCAGATGGAGAAATACTATATGGTTTGGGGATGCTCTAAAATCAGACCCGTGCATTAAAATAATAATAGGTCCTTTTTTTTTTAATGCAACAGATCTCTATTTTTCAGATTTTCTATTTACTGGTTCTGGATTTATCCTTCTTTCATCTTGGGAACAGTTTCCTACCTGAATGTATACATTTTCCGACTCTTAGGACTTGGGAAGCTGACTCGCACTTCACTTGGAAGGACGTTTCAAGTGACGTTGAATTCTACCTGTCACTGACTGACGTTTCCTTCTCTAGACCGTTTTGGTGGGCTCAATGGTGCCCACACTAAATCTCAATTTTTGACTCCTTATACAGAGAGGATTCTGTTCACGAATGCAACCTATGCAACGGTTACCTGACTGCTGAGTTCCCCTAGGTGGGAAACTAGAAGTCCGGAGATCCTTATGGGATAGCCACTGCACTCCGTAAGGTAAATACTAGATGCTCATCCAGAAACAAATAGCCGTACAAATCCAAAGTAGTTAGAGGCAGTCACAGGTCTTGCAGCGGAGATAAGTCAAAGCAAAGCATCAGCATTTTATTTTCAACAATTGGTGACAATAAATTGCTGATGCTTTGATATATCTCTGCTGCAAGACCCGTGAGTGCCGTGACATCTCCGGACATTACACTATTCCTCCCCTTTTTGTCTTTCTTTTTATATATGTAAGTGGATTTCTGCATTTAGATGACTATTCAGAGGGCTGTTTTATTCTAGATCTCCCTTTTCCTGAAGTTACGGTTAATGGGTATCCCACTTTCACCCCCATCTGGTCTATGGTCAGGACATACTTTCTTTGTTCAGCATTCATTTCCCTGAGGTCAAAGGTTCGATATCCTAGGCTTTGGCCTTTTACCTTTTAAAAATGATTTTATACTTCTATAGCTGCTTGTCTAAGTTTTTTCTTCCACTTGTTTTTTTCTTTTATGGTGGTTAATACATTGTAGAAATATTTGCTAAGGTCCTTTTTCTTCTTTAGATAGCAGTCTCACCCTAGTGGTGCTATCTGCCCTGCTCTGGTATACCAGATTCTTTCTTGTTGGTAGTAATTTCCATATTTGCTCTCCTCCTTCTTTTTTTTTTCTCTCTTCATCTAGCCTTGTTCCTCCTAGTAAGATTTTCACACCTGTTGGATTTCTCAGTAACTGTTGCCTACCCCTCAGTTATATTGGCTTTCGCATGTCCCATGCAGGATACAGGAAGGTAGAGTAACTACCTTCCTGTATCCATCAATAGATGATAAAAAAAATAGGATTTTGTACTTGGCGTAAAATCTTTTTTCTTGGAGTCCATTGAGGGACACAGGTCCTGGCCCCCCCCCACCCCCCCGTGTTATTGGTCCTGTGTACTGCTTGCTCACAAAACTGACGGTTGGTGGTGGGGTTTATATGGGGGCTGGCTTAACTGTTCTTTTTCATTTGCCAGTGTTTAAACCTGTTGAAGGACGTATAGGTTATGCCACCAAGAATAACTACATTCCTTTGTCACTCAATGGAATTCAAGAAAAATCTGTTACGATAAGTACATACATCCTTTTGTTTTTCTTTCATATTTTATATCTAAACCCTAAAATAAAAATGTAATATACTGCAGCATAGAAATCTTTATGTGGTGGTTGTATGTTTGTTTTTTTTATTTATTTATTTTTAGTCCAACTACATTTTCTGCAAATACAGACAAAATACCTGTTGATCATGCCGGAAATCTTTCTCTCTTTGTAACTTTTTTTTGCACTTGTAGAGCCAAAGGAAATCTCACCGCTCCAATTCTTTAGCCGCCATCAGAACACCCCAGGATTAGTAGTTTCTTTGTGCTCTACTGACCCATAAAAACAGGCCAGTTCAGAGTTAACCAATCCATCAGTGAGCATTGCTTCCTGCATCTGTGAAGGGTAGAGTTTTTGAACACATTTAAGTGAGCTATTGGTCTGTATTTGTCGTCTCTATGAATAAACCTATGGGTGAAACATGTGAGAGGTTTTAGCTGGTTGGGGGCTTGCGGTGCTGGTATTTGCTGTTTTATCCACCTTTTATCCACTGGATTTGCTGTGCATTTCAATAAAGGCTTAAGTATTGGAATTCTCTGGATTGTGCGGTCTGTTCATATACTACTACATTTCCTTGCACTTACCATCTATACGTTTTCAGCTTTCCCAGCTATCTTCTGTGAGATCATTCTCCCCCCATGTATTGGAGAAGTGAAGGTGTTTAACGTCCAAATCAGGAGAGCAAGCTAGGGGGTCCACTCTGTTTTTCCACAGAATACAGTACAGTGAGTGAGCATTGTCACCCTAGGACAGGAACTGTTTTATTTGTGAAAATAATAAAAAAAGCCTTAAAAAGTAACCAATGCAGCCACCATATTAAGGACTAGTAAGCTACATTGTACAAAATTTTTTTGTTTTGGGGTTTAGATGCATTTTAAGTTTTTGTTAGTCTTACGTAAGAGCATGCATTTTCTGGAGAGATTGTGATCAATGTGACTGGTTAATTTTCTCTTTCCCTTTTTTAGAGACTAACAGATGTTTTCCGGCGCTACGATACGGATCAAGACGGCTGGATACAAATATCATATGAGCAGTATCTTAACATGGTCTTTAATGTAGTATCATAATTTAGTGCGATGCCAAAAGGAAACATGGCCTGGAACAGAATAGACTGAAATAACAAATTTACACATTCATTTACTGCATTATAGTGCCTGCTGTGGTGCTATACATTTTGATGGCTTCTATATTTTGTATAGAGTATAACCAAAATTCTAAATTGTATATAAGAATTTATTTTTACAGTTTAGCAATACCAATCTAGCCATATATATATTATTTTTTTTTTTTATTCTGCAAGCTGGGAATGTAAAATATTGTCTTAAAGTTCAACTCCAGCCTAGGGATAGAGCCTCTGTAAGGTTTAACTGTGATCTGTGACCCTATTAAAGATATTTCTCCTGACCTCCTGTTAGAACAGGGTGTGTTTGGAAATCTCCCTGATGGAGACGGTCTACAACAAAACATTTTAGAACCTCTTGCAGTTTATTATTCTTATAAAGGGAAGTGGGTTTGAGGAGGTTTAGGCTATATTTCACTGTAGAAATTATAATTCTATTTCATGTCAACTCTTAAAGTAAGGTCTTAAAGAAGTGAAGTCAAATGGACCAACTTGCATATAAGGTATAACACTGTAATACAATGAATATATGAGATGTCTCATATAGCCCAAATCTTACCCAGTGTGCAAAAAAAATTGCATTGCCATTTTCTGAACTATGTATGATCCCCATCTTACCCCTTATTTGTGCCCTAAATTGTCCCCTCCCTATTGTTTGCACCAGATTGCATTTCAGATTGGGTATAATATCCCCAACCTTGCCTATTCTGGACCAGGCACACTTTTTTTTTTCTATTTTTTTTTTTTTTTTTAGGGATGACATTTAAAATGTTTTATTATTACTATATGGGCAAGATATTGCCTAAACTTCTCAACAGATTTACATTGAGCGTGTCTCACCTTTTTTGTCTTACAATAGGCTGTTCTGCTCATTTGTTGAGGTTATTATTACTGTCTGTGTATTGCTATCCTCGTGACCCCATTTCGTGTTCTGCTATCGCAAGGAAAGAAAATTAGGTGAAATGTCAGCATAGGGTCACGGGGACCAGTAAAAACTTAACAGAAGTATTTGTATTTTTTACATATCAATACACACTCCACAAAAAAAAAAAAGGAATGTTCTGGCTGGAGCTGGGCTTTAGGCTTAGACACACAAAAATTGTTTGCATTCAGCTTTGTCTCCTGTTTAAATTAGCTATACTGTGCCATACGATATTTGATCAGTTTTAATCAAGCTTGTTAAAGCTAAGATGTCAGAGGTCTAAACTCTTCTTTCTCAGCGGAGGTGGTGGGGTGGGGTGGGCATTCCTTCTGGACCGAGTACTGTGAACCCAACCTGTGTGATGTTTCACCCCCAGGAAAGAGGTGTCAATGACAGGCTGGACTTACAGGAAATTGTCAGAATGGCATGAGTGCCATTCTGCCTGAAGAGGACCAGTGATTGCTGGATGGGAGAGAGAACTTGTGGCAGCGCTTGAGCATGCAAGGGGGCAATGCGAACTGTAAAAAAATAGACAAACTGGAGTTCCACTTTAAATCCGTGTTAGCATCAAATAAGAGCTCTTACAGTTGAATGTGGATATTAAGGGATCTAACTGTTCACACAAGATTCACAGAACCTTTACCTACAATTCACACTTTTTTTTTCCAGAAGGCAGGAGAAGTGAACAATCTAGACCAAAATAGCTGACCTGGAAAAAGTATCCAATTCAGCTCACTTTCCAGCCCAGCTGCGCTGTCCTGGATTGTTCACTTCTCCTGCCTTCTCCAAACTCTTGACCCTTTTGTGAATAACCCTCTTAGTCCCCATTCACACCATCATGTGGCGGTGATGTTCCTGCATGTTTGGGGGGGGGGGGGGGGGGCGGGCGTGCGTGCGTTTGTTTCCTGCAACATTGATTTCAATAGCAGCTGTACGCACAAAAATGCAGGAAAGTTGTGCATGTAGCAAAAATCTCCTACACGTGTTCCATGGTTTCCCAAGCGTTTGTGCATGTTCACACGGGGGGCAAATGCACTTGCTTGGCCATGTTTTGGGGTTCCATTAACATGTAATGACACTGCAAGAACATTCCGTGTTTCAACAAGTTCTGTGAGCAGTGGCAAAATGTGCAAGTCCCCCCCCCCCAAGTTTGCCACACAGTTGCATAATCAGTCCAAGTTCAACCTATAGAGAGAAGAGATCCAGAGGAAGGTCAAAAAAAAAACCAAACCTTATTAAGTCATGTGTTCACGGAATGCGATGGTGTGAATGGGGACTTATAGTGCTCTGTTTTTGTATGGAGAATAGTTAGGCAAGAGCAGTGTAATGATATTTCCATATATTCTATGCATGTTTCTTCAATTTTACTTCCATTTGGAAAAACATCCTTATCCTGAACACTGTGCCTCAAGTCTTCCACATAATTGATGTCATACCTGTATTTAATTGTACTTTTACATTACATCTGAAAATGTTTTGGAAACATTTAAATGTATTATTATGTTCCTGTCCATTTTTCTCTATGAAACATTGTTTTTTCAGCAGAAGGAAATTGGATTTAGATTTTGGATCTGAAGCTGCCTATACAATGACAACGGTCATTTCCCCAAATGACTATTCTCCCCCCTCCCCACTCAAATAAGTCAGTGCCTGAGCGCTTCCCTCCTCTCACCAACATGCACATAAGCCTGATGCAAATGTGTATGCTAGTACAACCATTGTTCGTGAGAATGTTTGATGACTGGAACTGTGCATGGCTAGCTGCTCTATAGTGGAACTATCCAGTACTTTTTACATTACACTTGGGCCATAGTGATGAGGGTCCCATAGTGGTCAACAGAGACACAAACAGTTCATAGCAGTGAAATGTATATTGCCTGCATACACAGTGATGGAAATGTAATACAGTTTGCTCCACTGTATGCAAATCTATTAAAAAAAGATGAGTCACACTGACAATTGACTTTATTACTCAAAGCCAGCATTGGTACCTGTAATTTCTTAGCAAGTATGTGTATTTTCTATGACATGGTTATATTTAACCTCCTTTTATACAGAGAATCTTGGAAGTAGATTATGCTCTTATTTCTGCACAGGCCTAGCTAATAAGAAGAAGAACACCAAACTGTTTATTTTAATATTTTGCGGCATAAAAAGTAGGGATGCACCGATATCGTTTTTTCAGCTACGAGTACTGTATTTTTGGTACTTAATGGGACCTGGAAGTCCCATTAAGGAAGCCAGGCGCGGGGTGTAGATTCGCCATCCGGCTTCCGGAATATCAGGGAAGCAGTCTCCATGCTTCCTCGTCACCAAGTGATGAGGGAGCATGGAGCCGGCTTCCTGGCCAATCAGGAAGCTGGGCAGCGCGTAATGACTCGCTGCCCGGCTTCCTGATATCGGAAGTTTTGGTATTGGGCTAGGCATCGGAGCATTTGGGGGAGTTTGAGTACTCGTCCAAATACTTGTTATCGGTATCGGTGCATCCCTAATAAGTAATGAGCTAAAGCACAAACATGCCTATTTGTTTAACACTGTTACTAGCGCATCTTTTTGCATCTCATTTTCTATAGCTAATTGTGGTAGCAGAAAACAACAGTGACATGTCATCTTACAGTGTTTAAATAGACGGATGGTAACAGCAAAGTCTGTTTTTTTTTTTTATGTTTGTGCCTGGATAATAGTAACATTTCCACAGTTGATATTTCCGGGTATACTGCAGTTAGACTGGCGCTAGTGTGTGCATTTCCAGGTTGCCATTAGTATTTTAGAATGCATGCATGTTACGTCGTTCAAGTAGAATATAATTACTGATATTATGCCAACATTTCTGCTTTCATTAGTTTTCAAACAGGGCTACGTTTTTCAGGACTAGGTAATATAATCAGAAAAAGTGCCATTGTAGAACTATAATTCTGTGGTGTAGTTTATCCAAATATCAAGGTCATCCTAAAGAAGAAGTCTTGCCTTGTATTTGTCACAGCTCAGTCACCTCCCACAGTGTATGTTTCTTTTTATTCCATGCTTCTGTGTGATGTAGAAACTAAAATACAGACGTTGACAGTTCACGACTCTTCATTCTCAACCACACTCTGCAAAGGTGATGGACTTTTGATTGACAGCTCTTATCTCATTATCTCTGTACTTTCCCAACACAAAACAAGGCTCCCCTTCCAGTTCTAGTGTGTCCTCCCATATTTTTTCTTGTGGCTGCTTGTGTCCAGAAAGTGCAGGGACGGTGAGAGGCCATCTTCTTTGACAGCTCATTCCACTTCATTCCTCACTACGCACTGCAAAGTTTGTATCTCAGTTTCTACTCCACACAAAGCATGGGATAAAAACCAACACAGTGAGAGTTTGGTGAGTGAGCTGGTGAAGTTGTCTACAAGGTGAGACAACTTCTTTAATCATAATTGATGGCAAGTTTCAGACTGGATTGGGCTGTGTTAAAAGTGAAACCCAATGCACTATAAAATATATTATAACACTTAAATATTTGTTTTTGTCTCTTTAAGAGTGCAAGAAAGAAGAACCTTGATAACACATCAGTTTTGTTTTTGTTTTTTTATATAAATACTGAGTGAATGGAGGAGATGATTTTCCCATTGCTTTGAAAAGTGTAATTAGCTCATGTGTAGTTATGTCCAATGATTAATCTCTTGGTGGGTGGTTGTCTTGAATTTTTAGGGCATCTCTTTAACTGCCTGTCCAGTGCTGAAGGCAATGCAGGTTGTTCTAATCATGGGAGGGGGTATGTCAGATGGGATGTAAGTATTTAAAAAAGAAAAACAAATCCCACAGAATTGACTGCAGAACCAATATCAAGATCAGATGCGTTGCGGATGAGGCTAGTTCTTGATGATTAACAAATATCTACTTTATAACCAAGATTTTTACAGCCAATGCAATAATAAGCAATGATGCAAAGGTGTATAAAATCCAGTGCCATATTATAGACAACTCAGTGCTAAGGTTGATGTACAAACAGACTATAAGTCCATTCTCCATTTATTAAGTAAGTAAATTCTCCATTTATTTTCTGCAACAGTTAAGTCTAAAATTTGCCATTTGTAACAGCATTTAGGACCAGTAACTAATTTTGTTATCTATGCATAATATCACTGCTAGATTGCATTGTAATTATGTTCTTAAAATACTATATCTGCATAAATGAATGCAATAGTTATGGAATGGAAGCATGTTCTATGCATGTTTTGTATAGATATTACTTGCTTAGGAAACTAATAAAATAAAA